GAAATAAAATGACATTTAAATGAATGTGTTTCTATAATTAATTAAGGGGTATATTTGGAAATTAAAAAAAACAAAACAAAAAAACCCGCCTAAAAAGCCAGTCTAAATAGCTTTTTAAAAATATAGCTTATAAGCTACTTTTTGGCTTGCCAAACATGACAACTTAAAAAAACTCGAAAAATAAGCTAGTCGTGGCGCGTCAAACACAGTCATAGTTGCAGAATACGATAGGGACCTTATCGCGGTTCGACATGTGTCAAACGATTTGACTACGTCAAACCCTAGCTGTCGTGCATTGCTCTCCAAGCAACGCATTTTCTAGAAGCTTACTGAACATATCCATGAAATCAACAAGTAGTCAATGCAAATCGGGTTGATCCGATTCGTACCTTGCTAACAATAAAAGATCATTGGCTAATTGCAGCAAACTGCACCTAAATCATGTTATTTTTCAAATCTCATGTCGACTCTAGACGTTGCATGTATGGTTGGCCCTTCGTTAACATATACCAAAGCTTTTTGAGGCTTAAAAAAAAAAAAAAAAAAAAAAAACTTTTCATATTCTTTCACATAGGGATGAGCATACGACCCGTGGTCCGGAAAAAAAAATGGGGACCGGATCCGGACTGAACCAGATTATCATATTAGAGGGCCGGTTTTCGGGTTTGGTTTTTATCAATAATCAGGTTTCGGATTTGGACCGGACCGTACCCGAATTAAAGGATTTAACCCGGACCGGACCGGAAAACCAAAAGTTGTTTTCTTCTTTTTTATCGACAAACAGTAAGAAAAAATTACCAAAGTAAAAAAAAATGTTGTCCGATTGAATTGATTCGGCCTCTCCTGTGGATCACATTATCTTGTCAATTTTTTTTTTGTTTCAGCCTCTTCTCTTGATCGCATTATGGTGTGATTTTTTTTCTTGAAAAACCAAAAGTTATTTCCTAGTACAAGTTTTTTTAATAAAAATAGTACAGTTTTTTGAAAAAAATAATGCAGTATTTTTTAATAAAAATAATGTTGTTAAGTGCAATTTTTTTATAAAAATAGTGCAGTTTTGTTTTATAAAAATGGGGCAGTTTTTTTTTTTTTTTATAAAAATAGTGATGTTAAGTGCAGATCTTTTTACATAAAAATAGTGCAGTTTTTTTTATAAAAATAGTGTAGTTTTTTAATAACGTTTGTATTTGTTTGCATACACCTCATTTGCGCGTATTCTAATTAGAGTCTCGCAGTGTACCGTTGTATTCATCTTCTTTTATGTATTTTTTCAGTCGAATTGTACAAACAACAAAGATACGAATAATGGATGTTACGTAATAAGTTTATAATTTGAAATAGTATGCTAGAGAGTAACATGACAAACAAAACTTGAAAACCGTAAACAACAAACATATGAAACCCAGTTTGGTATCAAGAACAAGATTGGACCAAAACCGTAAACAACACTACAAAAGTCTAATTCGGTCCAAAACCCGAACCCCGGTTTAGTACCCGGAACCGGACCGGACTGGACCGAACCCGAACCCGCTACACCTAAAAACGGTCCAGTTTTCGTGTAAGGTAATTCACGATTTTCGGTCTTCGGGTTTTCGGTCTTCCGTCCAGTCTGGTCCGGGTTCGGCTCGTTGCTCATCCTTGCTTTCACACACCAATACAGAATAAAAGGAAAGTAACGTAACTTGTTATTCCTTTCACAATTTCCGATATAAATTAAGTCCCATAGTGGATGCTTTTATAGTGGCATATAAATTAATTTTTAATAAGAATTATTAATAAGTTAGTTTTGCAAACTTTGTTTTGTTGTACTTTTCTAAGAGGGTTCGGGTTCGGTGTGGGCAACGTCCATCTTCGTTTTTGTGAGGTGGCATTAGAAAAACGTCGTGACCACGCCAAAACACCGCCCCCTTATTTCGTTTTCGTTATTTATCTTCATTTTTGTTGCCCTTTGTTGCCTCCATAACGACGTGTAACGCCATTTTCTTCTCTCTTCACATCTTTCATCCCTCTACGCTGATGTGACCCTTTAAACGGGATTGCCCGTACCGAACAGCCTAAGTACCATCATGTATATATGATCAGGATTACTCTCTATCTATCCTTTTTTCTAGCATCCCTTAGGATTATAAATAGTTGTTTTTTTATAATTTTATTTTATAATTAAACTCTACCAATTTAAAATAAAACATATGTTCTTTTCTTAACAGCGTCTTCCTTGGTAACTTTATTAGAAGTTTTCTTTTAACTATTTAAAAAAAAACTTTTGAAAATTTTTTATTTTGCATTTTAGTTTTTAATATGTATTTTAACTACTTATTAGTTTTCTATAACGTTTTAATTATTTTATAGGTTTTATTCATTTTCATCCATAATAATTTATTTTATATCTTAGTCATATTTAAATATTTTTTATTAATTAATAAGCTATTTAATTAAATATTCAAGATATATTGAAATTTATTTTATAGAAATTTTATATTATGAAAAAGTAATTATTAAAATTTTCAAAATGATATATATACCAACGATTAAAAACAAACATTACCGTAAGATACATTCTAATCAACTAATCATTTTTTATTTATTAAAATATAAATATCGACTAATGTTATTTTTAGAAAAAATATGTTATAGACTTAAAAATTGAAAAATAACGTGACTGGTTTTTATAACATACGAAAAAGATAACTTAATTAATTTTAAAAAATAGCTTTTTAAAAGATTAACCATTTGAATAATTTTATAATAAAAGTTTTTTGATCAATAAAAGTTAATTGAAATTTGATATGACAAACAATAAAAAGTTTTTAAAAAGTTTTTAAAAGGATAATCATTAAATATGTCATCTTAAATATGTCATCGTTTACTATCATTCATAGGCATCTATATATAGAATTATTATGTTTTCTCATAGGCATCTATATGTAGAATGTAGAACTAGTTTATAACCCGTCATAATCATGATTATAAAATTAATTAAACTTTTATAGTAAAAACTCAAAATTATCAATCAATTATTTCAAATAAATTATTAATTAATAGATATTTTATGGTTATATAAAATTATAATCATTGATTTAAATAAATGCATGAAATTTATCATCTTATAATATATATTTATTTTATTTTATTTTTTATTCTAATATTATTAATTTAATGTAATTAGGGTATGAAATTTGAAATGAATAATCAATTATTAATTTAATATAATTAGAGTGGGAAATTTAAAATTTAAAATTTTGAAATGGATAATTAATAAGTTGTCATGTGGCATGATAAGTTGCATATAATTTAAGAACAAATTACTGAAATCGTCCTTGTGGTTTGGGTAAAATTGCGTGTTTGGTCCCTAACTTTTTTTTTGCACTCGGACCATCCCTATTGTTTATATTTGTTGCACGTTCAGTCCCTACTACACCTGAAATGACTAAAATACCCTTTCTTTTATTTTTTATTTGTTTTTCTATTTTTCTATTATTGATTTTAAATTCTAATAATATTATCTTTTTAAGAAAAAAGTTTAACAAAAATCTTCTCCCCTCCATTGCCTCCCTCAGTTGATGTTCCAAGGGCCTTCTTTCTCCTATACCGTCGGCGAACATTGAACCCCTCACCATCAAAAATCTTCCTCGCCCTAGATTCACCCTCCGCCCCGTCATTTCTTTCTACCTCATTCTACACCTACTGAAATCAAATCAAAATCAACTAAAATCAAATCAAAACCAAATCAAGAAACGAAACCTGCAAAAAAAACCAACTGAAATCCAAATCAACACCAAAAGGCAACAATGGAATGCAGATTAAAGAAGAATTTATTCAACGCATATGGGTGGAGACAGATGACAACCCCGATATCACGAAAACCCAAAATTCGAACCAGAAGAAGAATGTGAAAGTATGTTTCTCATGGTTCATCAACAGACAGTCAAGAAAGAAGACAATCGAGAGATACAGTCGAGAAAGAAGACAATCGAGAGATACAGCGTAAGTGTTCTGTTCTTTTACCGATTTGGGAGGGGAATGAGATAATCGAGCAGAAGAAAACCATTGAAAAGGGTTTTATTGGGTATTTATTCGTGAGTTGGGGTGGGGTGGTGGGAGCTCAAGTCAACTGTGGATGGTGAGGAAGCGGTGGTGTAAGGTAGAAGAAGATGGTCGTCGTTTGGAGGTTGGATGGTCGGAATCACATCAATCTCAATGGGAATCACAACAAGAAAACGACCTCCTCCCCTCCATTGCCTCCCCTCAGTTGATGTTCCAAATTTGTAGTTGATTGATCATTGATCATTTTTTGTAGGATTTGATTTTGATTTGTGGTTTGGCTTAGTATTGATTGAATGTTTTGATTTTATAAAGAGTAGTGGGGATAGTTATAGGTTTTCATTTTATAAACCAAGGTTACCGGAGGTTGCCGGAGGTAGATGGTGGAGGTGGAAGGTGGAGGGGAAGGTGGAGGGGAAGGGGAAAATGGTAAGTTGGACCCACTTATTTATAAATTACTTATAATTTATTTTCTTTAATTAATAAATAATTTATAAATATAGAAAAACTGAAAAAGAAAATGTCAAGGGTAATATAGTCTTTTTATCTCTACAAGGGACTGTAGACACAACAAAATGATATGTTAGGGACTGTCCGAGTGCAGAAAAAAAGTTAGGTCCCAACGTGCAATTTTACCCAAACCACAGGGACGATTTCAGTAATTTGTTCATAATTTAATGAGGATTTGTACAATTATGACACTTGTCAATAGGAAAATAAACTTATTCATTTATTAGAATAGGGATATATTATGTTTTCTTTTAAGACTAAATACTAATGACTTAAAAAGATAATAATGAATTATTATGTTTTCTTTTAAGACTAAATACTAATGACTTAAAAAGATAACATATTTTTTTATTTACACATATTTAATCATTGAGTTTTTTTTGTCCATATTTTCTCATTGAACTTGTTGAACTGTTCAAAATATATCATTATGACTTGCTATCGGAGGTTTAGCCGGTTTCCAGTATATTTGTCAACTCCGGCGAGACTCCGGTCATCTCCGACGAGTCTCCGGCCATAAATCTAAAATAATTTTATTTTTTATTTTTAGATCAGCAACACACACACAATACTTCATCTCCAACCCAGAAATCTACAACAAACATGAAATCAAGAACATAAATCCAAAATTTGATGAAGAACATGAAAACAAACCCATACATCAAAGTTGTGTTCTTGAACAAAAATGGAAAATCAAAGTTGATGAAGAACATGAACTCAAGAATGTGAACTTTGGTGATCTTCATATCGTGCTTCAGCTTGAAGATCAAACACCCTACACTCAGAAATCATTTTTAGAAGGAGAAATAACAATATGTGTTCTTGAGTTTGAACAGAAAAAGATGAAGAAAATCTTATGAAGAACATGAAGACAAACCTAGAAATAAAAGTTGTGTTTTTGAACATAAATGGAAAATCGAAGTTGATGAAGAACATGAACTTTGATCATCTTCATATCGTGCTTCAACTTGAAGATTAAACACCCTACACTCAAAAATCATATTTAGAAAGAGAAATAATGATATGTGTTCTTGAGATTGAACAAAAGAAGATGAAGATGAATAATTGATTTTTGGGTTTGAGTTCTTGAGTTTGCAAATCGAACACCCACACACTCACACACAAATCTTCATCGGATCTGCAAATCTGAATCCTTCATTAGATCTGTAAATTCGGAAGAAACCCTCACCAAACTTGGTGGTCTTAGATTCCTAAACCCATATAATTCCTTCGAAGAAACCTTCGGTTGTATGTGTTTCAGCCTCCAGAAGGAATCGATGAACATGTTGGTTGCGTCTAATATGGTTGTCGTGATGGATATGATGCATCATGGTGGTCTTAAGAGTAGAGTACCTGAAATGAAAGGGTAAATTCGATTTTATAAGGAGTTTGTTTTGGGGTTTCTTGTTTGATGCATCTTCTTTAAGCTTTATATTTTTTTTTGATTTTGGGATTTTACAGTTTTCAAGATTGGGGAAATATGTAGGTCATCTTCAAGAGCATCATTTGCAATGTTTTAAAAACCGGTTTGAACCGGCCGGTCGAACCGGTTGGACCGGGAACCGGGAGAAAGAGCGGTTCAACTATCACCGGTTTTACATTGATTTCTGAACCGGATTGAACCGACCGGTTTTTAGAAAAACCCGGTTGAACCGGTTAAACCGAATAAAAACACATGAAATATAATCATTTATATAATAAACTTTGGTGATTTTTTTCAAATCTAATTAGTTTTCTCTAAATAAAAACATATGGTAAATGTTATAAAGTTTTTTGATGTGTTTGTATTCATCTAAAACTATATTTCATTTCGGTATTATACTTTATTTTCTTTTTGACGTATATGGATTGATGTAAAACACTAAAACTTACGGTTATGTGTTATTTTAATGTATTTGGATTCATCTACAACGTATTTTTATGTGTATTTTTAATGTTTGAACTTGTAAATATAAAATTCATACTTTATATATGTATGTATATGTAGGAAAATAGAAAAAAAAACATGAAAACTATAGAAACCGGTTCACCCGGCGGTCGAACCGGTTGAACCGTGAACCGGTCACCATACCGGTTCAACTAAAAAACCGGTTTTTAAAACATTGATCATTTGTAAATCTGATTAAGGAATTCAATGTGAGTTTGAAATCGCCGGAAAACTAATGTTGGTCGGAGACTAATCGGAGAAGATGACCGGAGTATCGTTGGATCTGCCAAATATGTTGGAAACTGGCTAAACCTGCTAAATCTTCTATAGTAGGTTATAAGGATGTTTTTTGAATAGTTCAACAAGTTCAATGGAAAAATGTGGACAATAAACAACCCAGTGACTAAATGTGTACAAACCGAAAAATATATTCCCCTTTTAAATCATTATACTTTTCTTTTATATTGTATTTATCAATATCTTATCACATACGTCTATATATACTTTTTTTTTTCTCTAGTTTCTCTTAGGCTTTTAGGTTAAAGCTTTTGTTTTAAACAAAAATTTCTTAATCCAAAATCTACTTCAATTAGTTTTCAAAAGTTTTGAACTTTTAGATTTTATATCATTTGACATCTTTCAAAATTTTACAACTATTTTTTTCGAAAACTTTTACATAAATAAAAATTATAGGTTCAGGCTTTAGCATTCTGTTGTGGACTAATTTTGCCAAAGATACTTTTAGTTTTATATTTTATAGATATATCTATCTCCAACTTGTGCGAATTGTAACCAAAAGCATGTAAAACAAAAGCAATTTCCATAAAATATGACATAGACAATGAGAACAAAAAAAATGAAAAGACAATGGTTCTATTTCCTTATAAATTGGATTCGATCCATTGGTATCCTACATCCTACCCTTACCAAAAAAAAAGGAATCGGTATTATAGAACATACCGTTTATGTCTCTGTCAAATGTCAATGCCTAAATAAGAGAACCCGATTTTCCGGCGCCACCACTGCAACCCGACGCTGTGCTAAAAGATGTCGATTTGCATTTATTCTGAAGCTCCATGAATCTTTGAACATCAAAATTATGCTTCTTGATAAGCTTTCTTTGACGTGACAAAAACAGCCTCTTCATGAAATCTTGATACGTAGGGTCTCTTGAAGTGACAAGAAAGTAAGCGTAACCTATAATTAAACCAGAAGATCCACAGAAGAATGTGATTGGTTCCATAACATCCCATGAGAATTCCCAAAAAGTCAGACGGAAAAACAGCGAAATATGTGCAAGTGAGACCCCTAGCCCAGCCCAGAGGATTCGCCGGACTTGCTTGTGTGCCAACACATCGATTGCTTCTTGTTTTGCTTGTAGCGTTTTTAGTTCTTCCTTACTCGGATCGTTTTCAGGCAACAGGGCAAGAGGAACTGCCTTTCGAACCATATCCATCACCTGATTATCAACTTTATATGATTAGTTTGATAGATCATTAGATCTACAGGATTAATTTGATTTCCGGAACAATTCAAATCAATGGATAAAGTTTTATGATTGTGTTCTTATCCAAACACTATTCAGAGCAATCGAGATGAATGAATGTGTTCATAACAGGCAAGGCAAATCGAATACTTGAGAAATAAGACGATTAATCAACAAATGTGATCTGATGATCAAATTCACTGAATAATCAGACGAATCAATCAAAAATTTGGGGAAATCGGACAAAAATATTATCAGATGCATACCTTATGAGGATGAAGATATGCTTTATCTCTGAAGATGAAAATAACACCAGCGTCATCATAAACTTTCGCGAGCTCCTTCGCTTCCTCGGCAGATTTCGATAGGCCTATACTCTCGCACGCCTGTAAAAGCTCCGAATAACGAACCACCTCATTACCTCCTGCCCCTAACTTCGATTTCAAAGCCTCCACATCCACCAATTTCATCAGCTTATTCGCCTCCTCAACTGATGCACGATCACCACCATTACCTCCACTCCCCACTCCGTCGCCTCCGCCTCCGCCGACCGAAGTCGAGAACAAACAGCCACACATTCTTCCATTATTCGATTCAACGAAAGCGGTTATTGTTGGTCCAAACGATGCCGGATTACACCTACCACTCGCCGTCGCCGACGCTACGCCCTGTTTCAGCAACGGAAACGATGATCGCCACATGTTCTCTTGTTTGTTTCCCGATGTATACGTATAGATCAGTGTGAGTAGATGTCCATAAATTTCGATTGTGTAAGGAGCTTTGGCATCGCTGATCTAACAAGTGAAGAATGAAGAGCGTTCATGGGAGGTGGCGCCAACTTTAGAGAGAGAGACGGAGGAGGAGAGTTGAGGAAGAGAGAGAAAAACGGGGGAGGAGAGAGGAGATGGTTAAATGGAGTGACACGATTTTTCGCTTTTAATGACAGAATATATATTTACATTAATTCAGTTTTATCCCATTTAAATTGCATGTAGTATGTACAGTAAAAGCATTTTAAGGAAATAACCACGAAAGATGACCAAAATAAGAGACTGCTTTTTGACGTAAAATATAACATAAATAGCTTTTTTCAAATAAAATATATAAATCTTTGAAAGACACGTTCGAGGCATTATGTTTTTCTAGAAACTGTCAGTGGAAAATAAAGGTTATCATATCTTAAAGTATTGGTCTTTTACTAGTTTAAACATTTGAGGACTAAAACACTTGTTTGAAAAACCTAAATCCATCTCAAGCTTGGATTACTCAAATGAATCAATGATGATGAAGAGAGGTTTGTGTACAATAGTTTGTTTACTTGAATTTTAGGCTAACTGGTTTAAATATACACATGTGCACAAATTTTTAAATGAGGCAATTGAGGTAGATATAGCCAAGGTTGACACCACCTCTGATTTACCTTACCCCCACCGATATGAAATCAATATAAAGCTTCTTGAATCATATTGATTTTATTTTTGTTTAACGAAAGATTTTTAAAAAATTTGAACGTACGTTCAGTTAAGAATCTCTTTTCCGCATTAACTGGTAGTAAATATAGTCACGTACATTTTCTTTTTTTTTGGGGGGAAGGAGCCCGACAGGGTCCCCCCACTGACTTGGCCCGGGGACGTTCTCCTTGAAGCCATCCTGTCGCTCTCCCCCTTTAAGAAGTTTGTAAAAAGGCTCAAGTTTTTTGGCTTCCTATAATAGAAACGGCTCAACTAGTTTGGGGTTTTAAGCAAATCAAAATTTTGAGACTTTTAAGTATTTACTAATATCTACTATCTAGTGTATACTTATAAAAGCACTCACATAACGTAAAGGCACAATGAAGTTGAATTGAAATGAAAATACTATGTTTCTCTAGTTTTATGTTTACTAGTTTCATTACCAAGTTAATTGTAGCGTTAATTTTTTTGCCAAAGTAAACACAAAACATAAATTGCATAACTTTTCATTTTCGCAAACCTTGATTTTCGAATATCCGATTTAATATCTGAATCCGTATCCGAAAATTCGGATATCCGAATTTCGGATACGGATATCAAAAATTCACTATCCGAATTTTCGGATATCCGAATTTTCAGATATCCGGTTTTGAACACCCCTAGCAGGCAAGACAATGATTGAAGCACAAAACAACCGAGAAAGAAATCATTACCATTGTTATTGTATTCAACAAATTTAGATCATAGTTTGTGTTATCCAAAAACTATTGTTTATCCGCATCATTCATCATTGAAGTTTTTATTAAACGAACAAGATGTGAAACCAAAACTAAACCAATGGATCATTTTGTTGTAGGAACTAGATATTGAAATCAAGGATAAGAAGGGTGTCGAGAATGTCCAGCAAACCATTTATCCAGCTTGGATCATAATAAATCATGTCTTGTCTTATCCAAAACTAATTATTTATTCACATCATTCATCATTGAAGTTTTTATTAAACGAACAAGATGTAAAACCGACACTAAACTAATGGATCTGTAACACCTGGTTTAAGTGATGTTCTAATTTCGAGACGTTGGGCCGGAATTTGATCAAGTGATGGTTGTGGGCTTCAAAGGAATAGGGTTTAGACCCTTTACGGATTTTGGCAATGTTGGATTAAGTGATTAAAGCCATCGATTTTTGCCTTGAAGCAAAGGGTAAAATGGGAAGGTGATATCTCGGGCTTCTTGTATGAAGTATGGATTTTAGTTCGATATATGTTTAGTCAAAAGTAACTATATAAGAATTTGGAGCTCGTCGATACCTTTCCGTGCATATAATAAAGGTAGAAAGCAGAGTTAAAACAAATAAGTTATGGTTATTTAAAGTTGAATTGGAAGTTTGGGGTTTTGCCATACGCAGGGCGTAGCTTGTTTAGTGTGGATCGCCTTTCTAATGGGCTATGCATGGCGTAACTTAGGTTACGTAAGGAGTAATTGCAGCATATCAAAACCCTAATTCTTCGGTTTTGAGCCCTATTTAAGGGCTCTAACTTCTAGAAAACCCTCTTATGACCAACCTCCGTTACCTAAGATCACTCCTTGAGAAACACTAGCCTCCTCTTACTTGTTTTGAGCCTTGGCATCAATTATGAGCTTATTTCTCCATTGAAAGGTGGAATTTTGAAGAACAAGGTGGTAGAAAAGTGTATGGAATAAGGGTTCAAGTATAGATCCAGCAAGGTTACTTCATTCATGGACCATTATAAGTAAAAAGCTTCAAACTTTCTCATTACTTTCATAGATTTTGTCAATTGTCACTTTTCGGTCCCTTGAGCTTGTGTTTTGGGAGTTAAGGCAACTCCATCACCTTTTGAGCTATATGGAACACTGTTGGGACTTGTTGGACTTGGAGAGTTGTGCTTTGATGCTTATTCATTAAGTTGTGGATGTGGTGTTAGCATTTTTGGTCATTTTAGTGCATAAAGTTTAGATCTTGCTTGATGAGAGTGCCTTAATTGGTAAAATTAGAAACTTTATCCATTAAGACACTATAGAGGTCTATATTTGAAAATTTGATGGATTGACTTTTTGTATTAAGAGCTTAATAGAAAAGTTGGACATCAGGAATTACGCAGGGCGTAGAGCTGTTATGCATGGCGTAATCTGGCTGAATGTTGACTCTCGAATTTTTGACCGTTGACCGTTGATTTTGACCAAGTTTGACTTTAGGTCAAATTGGGTCATTTGAGTAGTAGATTGAGTCTTGGTCCATGTTTTTTGTTTAAGTGACCTGTAGAGTCGGTAATTGGAGCAATGATCAGTTCAATTATCTTCTAGACTTTGAGGTGAGTTTTCCTCACTGTACTTGTGGGTCGAAGGCACTAATGATGGCCCACTAGGTTATGTTATGTATCTTGGTATATAGGATGTTGTTATGATGTAGTGACATGTTAGATTGGTAGATTTGTATGATTACATGTACTTGCTGATTATTATTTATTTTTTGTATATCTCGACATATTTGTGGTTGGGTTGAGGCGGGAGGCCAACAAACTCTGGATGGTCGGGTTGAGGTGGTACTGATTCGTGCGGTAGACCAACAAACCCTATATGGTTGGGTTGAGGCAATGTGACAACAAACCCTGGATGGTTGGGTTGAGGTGGTACTGCTTCGTGCGGTAGACCAACAAACCCTGGATGGTTGGGTTGAGGCAATATGCCAACAAACTCTAGATGGTTGGGTTGAGGCAATAAGCCAACAAATCCTGGACGGTTGGGTTGAACCAATACACTAACAAACCATGGATGGTTGGGTTGAGGCCACGGGCCAACTAACATGTATGCATGTATTGTAATTGTTATTGTATTATTGTGTGGGGTATTTTGGGGGAACTCACTAAGCTTTGGCTTACAATTGTGGATTTTAATGTTTCAGGTAATTCAGATAATCGGGGGAAGGCGAATGCTTGATCGTACACATCATCCTACGGATTCTTATGATTTTAGAGATGTTTTGGTACTCTGATTTGTAATGGTATTTTGGAAAAACAATGGTTGATTGTTACATGGTTTTTATGAAAATGACTTTGAAAATCAAAAACTTTTACTATGGTTTTTGGGATGTTTCAAGTTAGTATCAGAGCCCTGGTTTGAGAGAACTGGATGAACACTTGTGTAATTCCAGACTCAAACTATGGATCTGCAAAATACTTTTCATAATTAACTTTAAAATAACTAAAGTAAAGGATGTGAAGTGTACAATCAGTCGGAGCTCAAGGAAAGTTATTCCCCCAAGATACCCACACTTGTTTTATGTGTATTGGTATTATGTTAGAAATGCATGTTAGAAGTTAGAATAAAGATTTGCTCAGGATTGCATGATAGAAATGTAGAGTTCTTCTGCTCAAATACTGCTTGCTTTGTGCTTTTTCGGACTTATATTGATGTGATTTAACTATTAAATGAATACGTTAAGTTACATGCTACAAAGGTTAAACAATCTTAGACTAATTGATTTAGCCCTATTGTGCAACTCTTGTTTGAGTCCAGCCATTGTACGGTTGAGTCTTTTAGTCAGAGTATTATTTAATCTTGGTTGCATGTAATTGTATTCATCAAGTAGTTAGCTGACATTGGTAGGGGTCTTTCAGCAGCTGATAGCAGGGTGAGTTGGGGATCCTAGGAGAGCCTAGGAAGTACTTTAGTACGAATAGTGCGTTGTTTAGCGGGTTTTGGGAGTATCATTATCAGGAGGTGAATTAGAGGATTCGAGATTATTCTTGAAGAAAGTAGGGATATGTGTGGAAGGTGGTATTGAGTCCGTACTACTGGAAGCATAGGATCCATACTCGAATCGAGGAAAGTCACAAGGATTTTATGAAGCCAGTAGAGGATTGATGTGCGGGTCGCTATATAGTGGGTAAAGTGTGATGGATTAATGATGACATTTTGGTTATGAGATGACAATTTGGTCTTGTTTAAAAGGATGTCGATGTCTGGTCGGGAAGTAGAGTCCTCCGAGATTTATACAGATGACACAGGATTACGCAGTTGGATTACCACTGAGGTTTCATAAATATTACTAGAAGAGTTTTCTAGTATCGTTGGTCGAATCACTGACAGGATGATTGCCAAGTTCGAGGAGCGAACTGCAACCTTTCAGATTGTGGAAGAGACTGTTTAGGCGACTAGGGAGAGAGATCTTGATGTAGGAACCCAATACGGAAAGAGAAAGCGGGCTCATGATTCCACATTTTCAGTAATGGACAAAGAGTTCGAGGTTGTTAACCGGGGTATCGGAAGTCAGTGGGACTTTAATATCTGCAGAAAGTGTGGTGGAACCCACGGGTTTGCTTGCCAGAAGTTCAAATGCTACAAGTGTGGAGAAAAAGTGCATGTTGTCCGCAATTGCAAGAAGGGTTGGACGTGTTTTCACTGTCACCAGTCGGGTCATCTCAAACCCGACTGTCATGCATGGGTAGCGGAGGGAGTGCAAGCCCCAACATC